CCAAACACGATTTAATTGAGAGAGAATTTCCAAACTGATATACTTAACCTTAAAATTGCACAGATAAAGGATTGAAGCACAATTTTCCTTCGATTGAACTTCAATCCATTTTTTATTATATCCTTCCATGATCCATTAATGGAATCCATACATCTATCGTTGATTAATGCTCATTGCTTCTAGATTAGCTCTTTTGTTTCTAGGGACTTTGGGAAGATTGTCTTTGGGAGAAAGAGTGTCTACAAGTCCTTTAATTTCTAGAATTTTGGAAGATTAAGGAGTAAGTGTCTACATATCGGCTTTAGTTTAACTGTGTCTTGTGTCTTTTCTGTTATATGTTGGACCAAAGCTGTCCACTATTACAAATATAAAGGATCTTTTATGTTCAACTAAAAGAAGTATCCTGGTTTTTGCGTAAAAAGAAAAGGAAAAGAGCATCAAACACTGTAACTGAAGGTTAAGATGATGAACTTAAAGTGCTTGAGTTTTGAATATTCTAGCATATGAGAATCAACAAAGCAAGCAACCCAAAAACAAGAAAGTGAGGGGGGAGCATAAAAATTATGACTTTTTAGTGAAGAGCATCAAACACTATAACTAAGGGAGAAGATGTATGCACTCAACTACTATGAAAACAGCAAGCAACCAAAAACAAGAGAATTTCCCCCAAAAAGTAATCCAGTACATAAACTCAAGTGCTTGAGTTTTGATATTCTAGCATCTGAGAGGCAATAAAGCAAGCAACCCAAAAACAAGAAAGTGCAAACAAAAACAATGATATTCTAGCATCTGACAATCAAAAACAAGAAAGTGCAAACAAAAACAATGATATTCTAGTAGCTGAAATTCAATAAAGAGAATACGTAAAGAAATGAATAGGGAGTCTAACTCAGCCCCAAAAGCTAGCTCATGAAAGCAGAATTGCTCGAGACCATATAAGTTGACCACTCATCTCATCACCTAACCGATATGGCAACTTTTTTCATTCTTCAACAACATAAAAAATTACAACTTCATAGTGCATCAAACACTATTAACTAAGAAAGAAGATATATGAACTCAACTGATTAAGCATCAATACACTTCCAAGAATCAAAAACAGCAAGCAACTCAAAACAAAAAATTGCCCCAAAAAAAAACACACAAGGGAGTGGGAGAGGAGATATACACAGTCAAGAACTTGAGTTTTGATAATTTTGAATCTGAGAATCAATGAAGCAAGCAAAACCCAAAACAAACAAAATCCACATATGGGTTTGCATCAATTCAAGTGCTGGAGATGAACAAACAAAAATTAACAAATGGGTCTCAAACATTACGCCTTAAATCTCAATATAGCTACAACCCATCAAAATTTCCTCAACTTTCAATCAAATCCCAGATATATAATGAGCTAATTATCACTGAAAAAGCAAAAAATAGTACCTCAAATTCAACGACAAACTGCTTAGTTCTTCAACCTACAAATCCAAAAACGATTCAAACATATGCTGACTATAACTAAACAAGAAGCTGATATTCAATCACTGTATGAAACTTCGAGGAAAATCGTGATGATGATGAGGAAAAAGCATAGAGTGACGAGGCTTTGTATATAGAAAATAACAAAAATATAATCTAGGATATAGTAATGTTATTATACTAATATAAATAATGAAATAAAATAATTTTGAGACTATGTGATATCTTAAATCAAATATATATAAAGTTAATTTTAAACTAAAAAAAATTATTTTCAAATTATTATTCTTAGGTTTTTACGAATTTGTTGATTGAGGTTCTAGATTCATTCAAAAGTAAAAAAAAAATTAAGTTCTATTATGCATTAAACGATCTTATAACAGTACTTAATGAACTAATTAATCAAGAGCGTATTTGGTATGAACAAAAATATTTTGTATGAAAATATATTTTTTTGAAAAAATTGGGTAATTTTTTATTTATCTTATAGTATTTGATAAGTAACTAAAAGAAAATACTATTGAAGTGTACTTGAACTGTTATGAAAATAATAAATTATAATAAGTTTAGCTGCTTTGATATAATGATTAATAAATTTTAAGCTTGAGTTATTCTTAAAAATTAACTTGTAGGAAGAAGATTACTCAAATATTCAATATGTATATAATTAAAATACCATACATAATATGCCTTTGTTTGTAGAATAAATTGACAATCTATTATATATTTTTATTATTTAAAAATGAATTTAATATCATCCTACGAGGTATAACATCACTCTCACATTATGTGATGTAACACATTTGCTGCCATATCAACGATATGTCAGCGCCATATCAGAAATTATAATTTTTTTATATTTTTTCTTAATTAATTAACTTTTCTTTTGTTAGTCATATTTTACATTAATTAGTTTCTAATTGATCAGTAAAATTCTCTTAATAATTATATTTTCTTCATTGCAAAATTGCAAAGAAGAAGCTTTGTACAATGGCTGCTAAGAAAATTTTTCTAAATTCGAAGTTGATTCGTGTGGTGAAAGAATTTCCTTCGTTTCAAAATGAACCTTGAGAAGACTCCTTAGTTTCTTCCATTGATTGACCATGAAAATCGAGATTCAATTGCTAATATTTTTCAGATTCGGACACCATTATTATTTATTATTTTTTTTATGTTCTTCATGGAGGTTAAAAGATAGGAATAATAGAAAAAAAATTCCCCTTTTCAATCGATCATTCATCTAGTTTTCTAAAAGTTTCACCATAGTTCCACGACTGAAAACCCCCAAACTTTAATTACCCTCCGATGACAGAGTAAACAGAAATCAAACCCACAATCTTAAGTCACTAGTACTATTTTGATTTCTTATTGAAAGGTTTATGGGGTAAAAAGATGATGCTTTTAAAGTTATTTGTTACTACATTACTTTTTGTTACTGATTCATTTAAGCTTGTTGGGGGTGAAGAAGATGAGAAGGGCGAGATATGAAGAAAAAGAGATTTTTGTGTGTGTGTGTGGGGGGGGGGGGGTTATGAAGGAGAATAGTTGTGGTGGTGGGGTATAAGGAGAATTCTGATTTTTTAAAACGTGTTTTTTTACTTAAATAATAAAATGACGCGCATAATTTATTTTTATTTTATTTTATTTTGCCGCGTCAGTTTTAGGGGTAAAAACATTCACTTTTAAACAGTATAGGTGTGTAATAGGTCATCGTAGTAATTTGAGTGTTTAATTGACTTTTCGATATAAATTCAGGGTAATCTATGCCTTTTCCCCAATAAAATATCATTAAATTAATATAGTCATGACCATAAATATTATTGTCTTATAGAGGTATATTTAATTGATAAATATTTAATACATAATAATTTGTAAAGCATTTTGAGATTCAATTAAGGCTAATTTTTATTACATTTATTTGAAAATTGAGCTTCAACGAAATTAAATGAATCCTCTTGTGAAACGACATTCACCTTTGAGATCATAATTAATAATTTCGATTATCACAACAAAACGAATGTCAAAACTCTGTTAGATTACCTTGATAAAAATGATATATGTTCAATGATCTAGAGTTTAGAAGAAATTATTTATACAATAGCTTTAAAACCAATTACCTATAAGGAAATACTAGTAAAACTCTTCACATTTTTTTTGGGTACGATTCAAGAATACAATACCAATACTTTTGAATGCAATAAGAAAAGTTAGAGATGAACTTTAATTAGATTTAAATTTAACAAGCAAAAAAAAAAACACTAAAAGTCATATTTCATAAATTGTCGTAGATATATTTGTAACTTTAAGGAATTATTAATCTCTAATATTAATGAGAGCATATATTTATTCTCTAAACGGTCTTCTAAAAATATATTACCTTATCAAAATTAGTTATATTTTTCATTGGCCCAAATTAAAATAGGAGAAATATCATCGTATAAATCTATTAATTTACTGAGTACTAAGAATAATGAATCATAGGTTTCTAAATTACAACACAATTTTTAAGAGAAAATTACACGGTTAAGCAAACTTATACTATTTAATTAGTCATCATAATTATAGTTTGCTACAATTACCACTCACGTCTAACATTAACCATTAATTACGTGGATTGACTTTGAGTTTGTATAATCATACACGTTTGTATAATTCGTCACATTTATGTAATTCACAACTAACACTTCTTCGTTTGATTTTGCATTTGTATATGACATGATTTCCTTTGTTTTTTTTTTCAATTTTATCACCATATACATTCAAATTTTTTTTATAACTTTTTAAAATTTGCATAAACGTGTAGTTTGGAGATTTCGTATAATATAATTTATATAATGTATTTGTATAATATAATTTTTATAACTATTTAAAGTTTATGTTTGTATCAATTCGTTATTCAAGTTTTATCATATTTGTATAATTTTAGACATTGTATTACTTAACTATACAAAAACAAGCGAATTATACAAACGTACCAGCGAATATTATAAAGGAGACGCGAATTATACAAATTATTGTCTTCTCTCTCTCCTCACTCTCCAGATATACAAATACATATGTATATTAGTTACATATATACAATTACCTAGCTGATATGCACGTACAATTCACCTCTCCCACTCTCCTCCCTTTTTCGCTTGCCTTTCTCCTGCTCTCCACCTTATAATATGTAGCTACAAATTATAATTAACAAATTACAGTTATGGAGCGTGATTAAGCTATTTTCGAGTGACTATACGTGAACGTTTATTTATTAATACAAAAAAATTGTCATTTAGAAATATAATGTGGCTGTAGTTTAGTGGTAAGAATTCCACGTTGTGGCCGTGGAGACCTGGGCTCGAATCCCAGCAGCCACACGCATTTCTTTTTTTATACACCAAACTCTTAAAACGACGCTGTTTACCATACTAAGACTAGAAAACGACGTCGTATGACATACTCAAACAACTTAAACGACGTCGTTTGGTTACCCACCCACCCCGCATCGGCATTAGGTTAAATAGCTCCAAAGTCCGATCTGAGGAAGTGTTTCACTGACACTCTCGGAGGAAGAAAAAATCGAAGATCGTAACTTTTGGGTTCTTCGAATTCTACACAAATTTCACTGTAAGTTTCATGCCCTTGAATTTTTTTTATTTTTTTTTCAGAAAAGAAAGTTCTTACTTTTTGATTGAGCTGATTTTGATAGGCGATTTGTATTTTAGGGGTTAATTTTTTGTGATTTATTGTTGTTTCGTGCAATTGAATGGTTGATCTGTTGTGATTTCGGTAATTCGATAAGGAACGAGGTATATTGGAAGGAGAATTGTTTTGTTTTGTGGGTTTTATGAAGGAAATGGAATTTGTTGTGATGTGAAATGAGTTATGTAGAAGAACTAGATTATGGATCAAGGGGTCTGGAGGGCTGTGAAGATGAAAGAGAATGTATAGGAGACTTATAGGTTTCATTTCTATAGTGGTTAAGGAGTTCTGCGAACAATGGAAAGAGTTCAGTAGGGTTTTTGTTTCGTTTTGATGTGACATAAATGTAAAATGTTTATAAATTATGTTTACTCGGGCTCTTCAAAAATGCACCTGCTTTTGAAGGGTCCGACACACACCCAATGATATTGTTGAAGAGTCCGGGTAACATAGTTTATAAGTGGGAAGTGTTAATACCTCATTCATTTGTTGGTGTTTGCTTGACATGAAGTTTGATGGCATAGAAGGGAATTTGGAGTAGTTAGGTGGTGCCGTGGTGTACAGGGGTAAGTTGGTGTTCTTAAATATTATCTTTGTGAGTTTGGAAGAGTGAAAGTGTTGTGTAAAAATTGGTGAAGTGAGTGATATTTAGTCGGAATGAAGAAATCTATAGAGTATACTGGCTTTATACACCTCAAAAGATGGAAGCCACTTTTAGCTCAACTTGGATCATACAGCTCAAATTGCTGGTATAGCTTAAGCAGGGTTCAGGCTTTTCTTGGCTTCTATAATTGCCTATGGTTCAAAGGGATGGATTGCTCAAGGTAGAATTTCGAAGGACATTTTTCACATTTCATGTGTATATGATCCTAATTAACAGTTAAAATCAACTGGTATCCAAACAGGTGCATTGGATTCAAGCTTAAGAACTAGGAGTCCAAAGAATTAAGTTCCTCCATCTATATAGGCATTGAATTGTTCCAACCAATAAATGTCTGGACTAAAGATATAAGAATGGAGACCATGCAGGATAAAACAAAAGAGAGGAAGAGAGATGGGAAGTATTAAGTATTTGTTTTAGGATAGTTGGAAAGAGAAGAAGGTAACGTGTAATTTGACAGCAACACTTAATGTAATTTGTTCATTAGCCTAAAGTTTTGTTAGGCTTTATAACCAACCTCACTAAAGGATGTTTTGGACTTTAATTGAAGGAAAGGGAACGGAAAAAAAGGAGAGGAGAAGAGAAGGGTAAGTTTAACTTTATTGTCGAATTGAGTTTTAGGAAGAGAAAGCAAGGCAGGAGAAAAGAGGAGATAGTGCCATGTACCATTCATCAGCTCCAGTTTTGCAAGTCTCTTGCGTTCGCCGATATCTTGGTTCTCAGGCACTCATTGCCCAGCAGATAATACTCCATCTCTCCACTAATATATCTCTAGCCTCTTGTTTTTTTCCCCCTATTTTTCTCCATCTAAAATGAGTGCTTATTGGGTCTGTTGTCCTTGTTCTTTTTTATCCTGGCTATTTCTCTGTTGCCTTTAGCGTTTGTTTAGGGTCTGTTGAACAGCTCGGCTGACTTGTCTCCTTGAATGATTTGTCTTCTAGAATGTTAGAAAACAGGTGTTAGTTTGAGTGTGGCTGCCAAAAACTTGTAAGTATGAACTCTAAAGTTCGAGTGATTAAGGATTTCAGGATGGTAAAGTGAAAATGGGTTGTCAAGAAAAGAAACTTAGCAGCCTAGAGATGTTTTAACTTCAGTAAGAATAACGTAAATTTAGAATAGATAGTTGCTTTCTAGTGACCTTATCTTTTATTTATCCTTTTCTGGAGTGTTATTGTCCACATATTATGCAACAAAAATATGGTGGTTGATTTGTCTAATATGTTTGTTCATGAATGTTGCAGATGATTGACGACCAGGACCTGGGTTTCTTTGCCAACTTTCTTGGTATCTTTATTTTTGTGCTGGTGGTCGCTTACCATTATGTGATGGCAGATCCCAAATACGAAGGCAATTGAAAGTCGTTACGTTAGATTTAGCTTGGGCAAAAACAGTTATGTTTATTTGCCTTTGGCACAGCTCTATATGATAGATATTGAATTTTGATGTGGCGAAACAGTTATAATTACTGAGCATGGACTTGTATGTGACTGCTTCTATAATTACTGAGCATGGACTTGTATGTGACTGCTTCTGGTCCATAGAAACTTGGCTTAAAATAGAGTAAACGATGTTATCTTTTCCTTTCTCCCGTTGCTTAATATAATTAATGTTTTAGAATATGGTTTTCTTTGATATGTTATGACCATAAAATCATTCATAGTTTAAATTGACTATAGAGTTATGTGCTTGATGAAATGCAAAGAAGATTCAGAATAATATATTGCCTTAGAATATAAGGAAACTAGAGACAACTATATTAGATCTACAACATTATGCTTTTGTGTTCCATTGATCATATGGATTTGCAGATTCTTATGAACAAATTGGTTCACCCAAAGGATCTTCCCACTTGACCAATTCTTTTATCGCGTTGTCGATGTTTCTTACTTCCCTCTCCAAAAAGCTCATGCAAAACTCTAAAGAACACAAACAACCGACAATCGTTCCTCTAAGCTCTATACCTGCAATGTCCCTCACTTTACCACGAACCTCGTTTGAGTTCTGAAGAAAAGAACTCAGTATCATCTCCATCTCTTCGTCGTTTCTATAACACATGACATCCCCCCTTGGACACGACGAAGTCCCTTCTTCAAGATCGTTCAATATATTCTGCTCTGGCTGTATCTGAGAAGTTTTTAACAGTCTGATAGAAATAGTTTTCTCAAAGGAGCTCACTGAAGAGCTTAAAGCATCATTAAAATGCTGTAAGTTGTTGTTTATGTATTGTTGAAGCTCCCTTTTATCAGGATAATACCTATCGAACGATTGAGACAGGAATTCGATATCACAGGACATGAAGAACAGAACATCTGCCATCTTTGACAAAGACATTTGGAGCTTTTGGTAGCAAGAAATTGGAAAAGGAATAAACCAGAATCTAGGTTCCAAGACTGCATCTTTAATGAACTTTTCCAAGTCTTGAACTTGAGATTTCAGATTCCTTTGCTTCTCCATTAACCCCTTTTGTCTTGAATCAACTACCATGTGTTTACTGCATTCTTTGAGTGTTCCTTGGATTAGATATAGATGTTTTTTAACTAAAGTTGCTGAACTTGTTGGCTGCAGGATAAGTTCAACAACGACGAAGCAAGCTAGTCCAATGAAGGCCTCGGTGAGTCTGTAAATTGCGAATACACTAGGTGGACCATAACTTTTTCTCCCTAAAATCAGTAGTGAACCTATCACTGCTGCTGTTCCCCCTGCTTGAGTGAACATCCTACTATGCCTTAAAAATGTGGTGAAAATTATCCAAGGGAGAAGAGATAAGAACCTTATTTGCGCGACTTTTTGAAAAATAGTACAGGCAAGTACACCATAAACTGATCCTATAGCTGTTCCTTGTGCTCTTGCATTTGCTTCTGTGAAAATTGCCTGTTTCCTTGTAACAAAGCTGAGGGCTATTGTGAGGCCTGACCAGTAACCATTTTCAGTATTAAATAGCAGACCGAGCAACACAGCCAGCCCTAATGAAAATGAACACTTGAATGCGAATACCACCATTCTCTCATTGATTATAGGCATAGTCCTATCAATGCAGATTCGTCTGCAACATGACCTGTTACTACTAGTATTACTACTACTACTACTACTACTCTCTGTTGTGGCTCTGAGTCCTTCGTTTATAGGTGTGATCGTGTCAGAGTCACTCGTGCACATTCTGAAACAAGATAAGAAGAAAAGTGCTGCTTGATCTTGTTTTGTTGGTAAGATTGGTTCATTAGAATGCCTAGAAGAGTACTCCTTCTCAAACTCCCCTTCTGTTACTGAATTATGTGGTAAAAATGATCTATCTTGCCCCATTATTTGACCAAGAAACATCATTACATGATGTGTGACTTTAAAAAGCTCTTTATCTATCATTCTTGTAGGAAAAATTGGGCAACAAGTTATGGCCAATTCCATTCCTTTCATTGAAATATCCATGTTTTGTAAACCAAGTCCTGGATCTGTGAAATTATGATTCAAGTATCTCAACCAAGGTTTCTCCCATTGCAAACCTTCCTATAAGTATAAGAGGGACATTTAGATTATCGAACAATAACATGTTTATCTCACGTATCGATACTGAACTTTATTTACGTTAAGCAATAAAGTCATAAAACTATTTTATAACATATGAAAGTAGAGCACCATAAAACTATGGAAAAAAAGGACAAATATACCCCCGAACTATCCCAAATGGTATGCAGAAATCCTCCGTCATACTTTTGGGACATTGGTGCCCCTACCGTTCATAAACTGGAGCATATATGCCCTTCACTCTAATAGAAGACTAAATAGGGACACGTGGCGCAATCTTATCCATCGATAAATATTGAATCGCTGGATAAGATTATGACACGTGTATGTCCGTTAGTATAAAGGGTATATATGCTATAGTTTCTGAACAGCAGGAACACCAATGTCTCAAAAGTATGACAGAGGGTATTTGTATACTGTTTACGATTGGAAAGGGGGGGGTATATTTATGTTTTTCCTCTAAAACTATTGTTACTCGCATTTTGAAGTAATTGAATTTTACCTACTATAACAGTAAAATCATCTTTTCAACTATTAACAATTAAGTCAGGATAGGTTTTGTCATTATAATCGGTTAAGTTTAGTGATTTTACTGTTATAATGGTTATTTTAATGTGAAAAAAAATAATTTAATAACTTTACTGTTATTGTAGATAAAGTTCAGCGACCGTATTTAGCTTACCTCCAAGAATTTGATAGTATCAAGAAGCTTAGTTCCTGTATCAGTAAAGGGCTTTGTTTGATAAATTAGCTCCATGGTTATTTGATCATCTTGAGTATGAATGGCTTTCAAATATAAATTTATTCTTCCTGTTGCACTTTCTGCATATATTTGGTATAATTTTTTCACCTGTCATAATAAATCAATATTTACTATATTATATGTATATATAAACATTAGCAATTAATATAAATGATTTTTTTGGCAATTTTTTTTATGGTCTAAATGAATGGAATTTATGTAAATTTCTTCTTACACTTTAGATTGTTGAGGAGTTATATGATGTGAAAATCTTTACACGTTTTTCATGATACTGATATGACATGATGATGTTATTATAAAAACAATTATCGAAAACATTAAATGAAGTAGTGCAATAACTATATATATGTATAAAACCCCACATATATTTACTCAAAAATGTGCATCTCTTTCTCATTCCCCATGTTTATAATTTTTAATCAAACATGATATTAATATTTGTGAAGTTTATATTATGGACCATAAAAGAGTACCATACCAATTAAATTAAATAATATAGTCAATCAAATTGTCATAAGAACAAGGGCATTTCTATCTATCACACACACAAAAAAAGAAAGTGCAATGGGCATATGTCAAGTTGAACATAAAAATAACTAATTTTGTTCGGATATTAAATGAGCAGGTTGGACTGAATTTGAAAATATTAAAATGAATTTAGTTAATAAATTGACGGTTTACTGACCCCCTCGAGTGTTACTTAGTCTAACATGGTTTGAGTTGAAATGGCGAAATGTAAATATTAAAATTTTGTTTGTTCTTTGAATATCTAATACAAAATTTCTTTTTATATTATGATTGTATATAACATATCAGATTTAAAAAAAATGTATTTTTAAAAATATCCAGATAGAAGTTTTCCATGGATCAACTTGGATTGTATATTAGTCCAATTTTAAAATAAGATGAATTAAACAGGTTAAAAATAAATTGAGTTAGTAAAATAAACAAGTTAAAAACCGTTCAAACCTAAATGGATTGGACAGATCATGGTTTTATGAGCTGATTTTATCATATCTGATTTCACGTAATACTTTTTCTCTCTCTCCCTCTCTCTTCTATTGCACTATAGTTGAGTAATTCTTCAAAGAACTTAAAGTTCGAGATTAAGATATATACATCAATCATAGAAACAATATTACTCAATGAAGTCATGACTTATAAAATAACGTCACCATTATACGATCAGTTGTTCAATTTCAAAGTTAAAACTAAAATAATTGATGTAATTATTTATTAAAAAAGAACATTGATTTATAAATATTTACACCCTAAAATGGACCTTGCCTAGAAGATCCAAATTAACCTATAAACTTCATTGTTGTAGTTTCATGTCCGACCAGACTAAAGACATCAACTTTCATTTTCAACTTGTAAATTTTATAAAGAAAAAAAAATAAATAATATTATAACAGATAAATTTATACCAACTTTCAGCAAATTAATATAATATACTTAAATGAACGGTTAAAACATAGTGCTTATATATATTTGACTTTTCAACACCTTGAAAACCTTTGGTTACATCGAAAGTATAAAAAAATTTTAGTGGCAAATGATTTTTTTCTAACATAATATCATTATATTCAGAATCGCGTAAGATTGTAAATGTTAATATTTATTATTATTATAATATAATATAACGATAATTATATAATAATAAACACTACTGAAATAAGAGAAATTAATAACAGACAAGTTTTGTAGATAAATAACAAAATGTACCAGTAATCCTATTTAACAACGAATATTAGTAAAAGATTATGAGAATATAATTTAACGATAGATTAGCGATGAAGTTGATATATATACATACCTCATGATATGCAAGCCAAGGATAAGGTAGCAACAAAGCTATGATAGAAGCCACAACTCCAAGTGCAGTGCTAAAAGCAATTCTAAAAGGGTGCATCATAGGAGAATTGACATAAAGTCCATGAATAACAGCATCAACATAGACTATAACAAGTTGTCCAAAGGCAATTCTCTTGCACATTAAGTCGGTACTCTCCGGCAACGCCACCAAAAACGCGCTCACCGCCACCATGAGGGCGGCTACCTCGGGCGAGTAGTCATCGGTGGCGACATAATTGTGGATCCATAGGCCTAGCATGGAAAGTGGCATGGTTTGAAGTGTGGCAAGACATGCATGCCAACATCCCCTTAGGGCATGGCCTAACGTGGCGTCGGATACTATGAATATCGACGTCACGTAGGAAAAAGAAGGAAATGCTAGTTGCTTCGAAAGAGAAGGTGGACTATAGAGGGTGACACACCCTACTATAATGCATGCTAAGGCGGTTCGAATAGCTGAGTGTAGCCTCATCCACCACATGGCGCGAGCTCGTTTTGCCACCATGGTGGTTGGCATGATGAGGCAACAACTAATAATCTACAAGATTCACTTTCTACTGACAAGACAACCACTCTCTACCCCTATTGCCACTAGACTATGAACTCACCTGCCAGTAACAAGACGACTACTTCATGCATACCACCAAAATAAGCTAGCTAGCTAAAGATTCATCTACCAATTATAACAAGACTGACTAGTTAGAAAATTCACCTGTCAACAACAACACGACTAGTACTCGAGATCACAAAATGGCTAACCAGAAGATTCACCTGCCGCAACAAGACGACTAGTACTCTCACCACATCACAAAATGGCTAACCAGAAGATTCATCCACCAGCAACAAGACGACTAATACAACACATCACTAGTAAAATGGTTAACTAGAAGATTCACCTATCAGCAACAAGACAACTACTCTCAGCACCACACAAAATGGCTATATGTCATTCAACATGGTAGTAACAAGATGACTACTTTCATCAACACACCACTAAATGACTATGTATAGACTTTCACCTGCTAACAACAAGACGACTACTTTTTAGAAATGCTAAACAACTATATGGAGATACTATTCCAATTTCAACAGGTTGTTGACAAATTAGTAGAGAAGTGGTCCTCTCTAGGCCTTGAGTAGGAGAAGTATTTATAGTATTGCTAGTGTGTCACACTTTGAACAATCCAACTTTTTACATCAGTCAAAGAGTATGTAAAGTCGGTGTACATTTCACCCTTTCTAGATTTCATTTGTGGGACTATACTGAATATATTATTATTGTTATACTTATAACAAGTAGTGTTTTGATTATCAAATTCCAAACCATTGATTAAATTATTATGTCAATCAGAAATAATTATGTAGACCCTCAAACAGAACTTGTGAGGCTATGATGTATACCCTTTCAATGAGGCAACCTTTAAACTTTGTGAGCCTCTCTTATTTTACATTTACACAATAAACATATTGTTTTATAATTACTACATGCTTCAAAAACTTCGGAAACAAGAGTCTATCAGACCAGTTCGCCAATAAACAAAGCCATTTCTACTAAAAAAGATATAATCTTGAAGTCTCTATTATTACATCAATGAAAATGATGTATTTTCTTGCTTTACTATACTTTTTTTTTTCTTCCCATCTCTGGCATTGCACTTTTAATTTTGATAAAATCCAAAGAAAATGACCAAACACACTAGACATTTTTGGCCATTTATGAGGCACAACAAATTAAAGGGTAAAATAAAATTAGAGGTTTCTTCCAAGAGTATTGGAGCTAGGATTAATGTTAATTAACAAATCATCAAATAATTTAAAATATTCATAAGAGTGAGAATATGTGAAAATGACATTTTATTTTAATTTGAAAAGAAAAAGTCATTTTCCAATTATATTATATTTTGATGTATACATTCGAATACACTCTTTTTCTTTTAGGATTTGTAATAATTTGATAGTAGTATTGTATTCATTGATTCAAGAGAAAACGTTTTAATTTGATACTAAATTTCACAAATTCATTAAATTTGTTTAATTTGTAGCTCTTCCTTTTGGCAATCAAATAAATAATTATGTGATACGACAAGTAATCACCATTAGTACAACTAAGCTTTAATAATTAAATTCTATCAAAATTAAATAAAATGAAGCAGGCCAACCAATTAATTCTTCCCTCCTATAAGAGACAAATTCAAAATTTGAACTTTACGAACTTGTATCTTTGGTATTATAATCCCAAATATCAGTTATTAAATTTTAAATTTATTTTTTTGTGTATATTATCTGATATCTTTGACACAAAATATACAACGTTTAAACCAAAATTAACATTGAATCTTATTGGATCTGTATGTTCGAGTCTTCATTCATCTCTTGCATGCTAAAAAAGTGTCAAAATTTAAAAATAAAATTAATACTATTATTTTTATATTATAGCACCTATAATCCACACACAAATGTTAATTTTTGAGGCAAAATATAATGTTAAGAGTTCACAATGGAATTATTTTAATTGGAATTAATTCCCCTTTTTGCAAGGCATATTATAGTAGAATGGACATTAATGTCGATATATTCAAGTTGTGTGTCATTATTGTTCAATTATTCTCTCATATGCACCATGATTTGGTATATGGCATCTACACATCCACATACTTTTTTAATTATTTATAATTAGTAATCTGATAAAATAACAAAAAATTATTATCAATGGTTACTCCATTGATACTATAACAATGTATATGTATTACAGCACGATCAAATTCAGATTCACACAATCCAAAAATCGCAACTATATTCTATTTAATTTGGTTAAGTGAGACTCTGACCAAAAAAAAAACAAAACAATAATACACATATTTGAACAAAGTGCCTCGAGACGATGCCAAGATTTAAATTTTAATAAAATTTTAATAAAATGTACATATTCAGGGATAATAAAATGTACATATCGAATAGATATAAAATTTAAACCGAAATTAATGCATTCAACTGAATCTGTAACTGATATTCTAACTTCATCACTTGTAAGTATCTAGAGCCTATTGTCCCGTCTAATCCAAACTTGTGTCATGAAGTAGTCAGTGGCAGACGCAGGATTTTTGTGAAGGGTGTCAGGTTATAGTAAAAAAAAATACAATTTTGTTTACCCAATGATGTCAAGGGGATTTATTAAACTAAAATTTGACCTCTATATACAACGTAACTTTTCGACCCTAATGGTACGTTCGCCCCTAAGTTTCACCAATGAGGGTAAAACACTTTCTACAAAGAAGTTCTTAATTCTCACGACTCAAACTTGAGATTTCACCAGAGATGAAAGAAATCTAACTATTGAGCTTAGAAAGGTATTTTTGCAAACCAAATTCAGTACATACTATTTTGTTTTCTCTTTCATTCTTCTGAATGTTATGTATTACTCTTAATTTTTACATTCTTTTCATTGTTATTGTTCTTATATCTGCATTCCTTTGTTTCAAACGCCTTAGATATGCTTTATTTTAAGCTAGTGATCTATCGAAAACAACTTCTCTATCTCTGTATTATAGAAATAAAGTTCACATACGCTATCTTTTTCCGTCTCTAGCTACTTGTCAAACAGGCAGTGTTAGAAGTTAGTACAGGTGACTAGCCCCAATTATTAAATGTAGGACATTTTCATTGAACTTTCCTACTCAATTGTATTTCCCTCTTTGCTAGGGTATGTAAATTAAGCCACATAATCTTATTTTTATTATATGATTTGTACTAGTCCTGACATTTATCATTGTGCTGCATATAACAAAATACGTGGCTTCTCGAACTTTCCTCTATATTGATGACCAAATTAATTTTTCTCATTTATAAGGGTAGCAATATCAACTCACACTCATATTTCTACGGGTTGGGTCATAATCTGCCCAAATGTGACTCAACCTACACGACTTGTCTACTTGTAGAGCCAGCATTTATCAAAGTGGAGCAAAGAATTATATATATCACCTGATCTTACACGGGAGATCCCGAGTTGAGTGATTCTCCTCCAAAACAGTCTACATGACCTCTTACGAGAGGTCTCTTGAGCCGAGTGATTATCCCTCAAAAAACTGTTCATGTGTGATGTTCTGAAAACGAAAACATGTTGAGTTAGTAATTAGAACCATTGTGAGGTGCAACGAGTATGTGGACAGTAAGTGAGTAACAGAAGGAATGATACAAAAATATGGTAGCAGTGTCTTGTTGAGATTGTGTATATATTCGAATAATATGAAGGAATTGCAGTAAGAACAGAACTCAATGTTTAGATGCAGATATCATTCGATTTCCACATATGCAAAGAATGAACTATAACTGATGCAGAAAGTTAAATAAACAAACAAACAACAACATGCCTAGTAGTCCGGAAAGAGTAGGATGTACGCAAACCTTACTCCCACCTTTGTGGGATAGGGAAGTTGTTTTTGATAGACCCTCGACTCAAAAGAGAAGTTCGCGAAGCAGTGTTGCAAGAAAATATGATAGCAAAATAACAAGATGCAAGACAAATGAAGCAACAAATAGTAATACACATTGAAGAATAAGAAACTATGCGACAACTAAAAGGAGGAGAGATGAGGCTAGGCCTCTGTCTCTACCACATAAACTACGACAACACTCGACTACCTACATAAAAGGAATCATTTTTCAGAGGAAAAGAATAGTTAATTTAAACATTTTGTAGAGGAAGTAACTAATAATCACAACTTACTTACCTCGCATATAACAGATGCAAAATTAAAGAGAGAATAATATGTTTCTTTTGACATTTTTCCTTTCCTGGCAACGAAACAACACCTATCAAATAAAAAGATCTTTTGACAAGCTTCTTCCATAAACTTCACCTCTAAAATACTAAATTTTTGAATGATGAATACATTCAAGAACAAAAGAGAGTGACCATGTACCTGTGTCCTGCTCCGCATTGCGATGGTGGAATGGTAGAGGTGTGCCTAAATTGGTTACGACACTACCATTGATTAAGAGAGAGTTGAAGACTAGTGTTCTAATCAAATGAAATGTCTACTGTCACCAATTCAAAATGTCGAAGGAACAGAAAGCATATGGGTAAGCAAAAGATTTATTAAATAGACAAAAAAGCAAGCACAAATTAATGTAAACATCACATAAAGAAAGCCACCCATTTACAGTGCGCTTTAATATGTAAAATCTATGACATCTACCAAACTATTCTCATCATTTACAAAATATAACACATATAGAGTGTTTAAAAATTCATAAACTTGACGATTACTTACTTCTAGTTGTTTTACATAGTTTCCAAAAATTATATTTTCAATTAGTTGGTTACCAAAAATTTGTTTCCCAATCCTTTTCTTACTAGAACTAGGAGTAATTACAACAGCTATTCAAATATTCCATTAGAAAAGTTCCCAAATTTTGTTTTTCCATTACCTATTTTAAATAGGATATCAACGTATATATGTGTGTATATATATATATATGTGTGTTAACCCTTTGCTTTCATCACATAATCTTTTACTCCCCAAGGTTTTTCAAATAACACAACAATGGTTGCTTGTATTTCATCATTAGGTCATGATCAATATTCTTCCGACAATTTCGATGAACTTTTCAACCTGCGGCGTTACAAGAGGTATTTAGACTTTTCTTCTCATGAAGTTAATGATCATCTGGACAATCACAGCAACAAGAGACTCAAATTTAGTCAAGATGATGGATTTTTCAACGTCAAGAAGAGAGTACTTGAATTTAGTAGCAACGAACTACAATGCCTAAAAATAGAAGCTGGATCTTTATACTTACCCAAAGACAATCCAAAGAAGCCACTAGGTGAAGATGCACACTTCATAGATGAATTATTCAAAACTATTGGTGTCGCGGATGGCGTTGGTGGCTGGGCGAAACAGGGAATTGATGCTGGAATATACTCAAGAGAACTTATGAAGAATTCACATATTGTTACATATTATGAAGCGATGAAAGGTCATGTGAACCCTAAAAGGGTTCTTGAAGAAGCAAACGAAAACACAAATTCAAAAGGATTGTCTACAGCTTGTATTGTAACTTTTAACTCGGAAAAAGTACTATAGATGCTGCTAATGTTGGTGATGGTGGATTTTTCCTAATCAGAAAGGGAAAAGTTGTCAATACAATAACGAGTATTTGGGTGTCTATAAATTGGGAAACTGCAATGCCGATAATCCTAGCATTACTCAAGAAATGGAATTAAACATCTAGAAAGATGATATTTTGATGGTTGGGACGGATGGGATGCTTGATAATATGAATGATAGTGAAATTGAAGAAATTTTTGGGAGAGCGATCAACGAGAAATTGAAAGCAAAAAAGTTGACTAAGAAAATTGGAAACGTTGCATTGTACAACTCATTTGATAGATTTGCAGATACACCATATGCAAGAGAATCTAAGGACGACATAAAGGAGGAAAAATTGATGATATTACTGTTAATGTTGCTTATATACAATAAATTCAATTTTGATGTAACTGAAAAATAGAATGTATTTGTTCCGTTGCCTATTATGAAGCACAAAATGTAATGTGCAAGATTTATTGTATAATACAAATGTTATATTTCATGTTTCATTGTATTTTGGAACTACACTGCTATTTTGGTATTTCATAAATTTGCAAGATTTATTAATTTTAAAAGAGCACAGTATTTTAGGACCCACACTAAAATATATTGTTGGAAATTTTATATGTTCTTACGGTTCTCCCATGATGAGCTAACTTTTGGAGTTGAGCTATGTCTAAGGTTCATTTCTTTATCATGGTATTAGACTGAAGTCCATCCTAATTTATAGTTTCCGATCCTCCTCTCCCCCCCCCCCACCCCACAAAACCCCCCAATTATATCCACGCTCTAGACTGGAGCGGATCTAGCCCTTGAGGTATGGGTTCACGGGAACCAATGACTTTTATTCATTCCCTGTATTTATTAAGAATTCTACAAAATATTTATAAATTGACCGTGAACCCAGTTATTATTTTACGTTAACTTGAAATCATTAATATGAACCCATACACTTCAAAACCTGGAACTGTCTCTGGCTCCGGATGTCAAATCTTGGGCTGTGTGGGGGTGTTAGAGTCCCACATCAGTGAGTTAAGGGTTACTTGGTCTGCTTATATAGTTTTGGACAATCTCTCATAAGCTAACTTTTTGGTTGAGTTGGGCTCAAGATCCATTTATTTACGGTAAAAAGAACTTAAATCATGCATTTTTCCTAGGTATAGATAAAGACAAGCTAAAATTTTCCTACCTCAAAGGAGCAACGGGTAGCAGTGATACTTCACATGTACTGGCATAAAAGATCTTAGATAGCCCTCTATCTCTCCAGTAACGAACTTCTATCCCTTTCATCAGAGGATCCCGTCCATGGATGATTATCACTAGCTCTCTTCTGTTTCGTCACGGGCCCTGATGACTTTCCAGAGAAATCTGATGAAGTTTCTTAAGCTTTATTGACATTTTCTGCTTCAGAAAATGCAACCTCTTCTTCACCTCAGTATCTACACCTGTTGAACTTCAATTTGTTGAACATCTACTTTCACCTCTTGAATTCGATATATTTTCAAAGACCCTTACAAGAAACTTCTGCTGCAAACTTCTTAACTGATTTGTTTCCTTCAGTAGTATTTTCACCTTATCGCAGTTTCAACTACGACATCTTTATGAAACGCTGAATAGGTTAACCTTGAAGACTCCCACTTTTGTTTTAGGCACAAGCTATTCCGTATATTATTCTAGGCTAGTTCTTCTTCCTTCTACAATTGTTGCGAAATCAACAATGTGATAAAAAAATTCCCAATCTTATCATTTTGTTTCACAGTCATCCGACGATAACTCAAACGGCTCATCTATATATTTCTTTTTTACCGTTATCCCCTGGTAGAAAAAGAGCATTTTCATGATCTTTAAAGGATTTTGATCAGTTTTTCCTTGACATGTTGATCAAGTAGAGCTGATTGAATCTCCAATACCAACACTAAGGAAGCAAGAGATGCATGAGCAAACAAACAAATTACGAGGAACCTGGCATCAGTTATAGCTGACTGATCTCCAGATCCTTCTCCTTTCTTGTCATGAACTGAAATGTTGACATAAAATGTGGACATAAAGGAAGAGCTGCACCAGCAAGAGGATTAAGAGAAGTCCTGGAATCACTAAGCTACTTTTCAGTTTGATCATCCATTTGAATCTAGCTCCTGCACTGACTGGATTTCTCCAAACAAATACCAAAATAAAAGACTGGCACCAACATTTGTGTGGCCATAAAAGCTTCTCATAAAGGATAAAAATGAGAAGTTCAGATTAAATAGTTTTCAAATTAGAAGTTGTTCTTTTATTTTGAAGGAAAGGACAAAAGCAAATGTTGAAATAAAACTGGAATGGAGGGAGTATCATTCATATACTATTTGCCGCAATACTATTGTCTACGCAAGAGGGAAAATCTGGACAGAAGTAGCCATTTACTAATTGGTCCATGGAAGGGAGAAACATCAATTGTGCCCTCAGGGCTTAGATGCCCTTTCCTGCGTGAAATTATACATTGGATGAATCTCTTATTGGAAGATCAGATAATTACCAGAAAAATCATACCACATTCCAGCTTGATAGCAACTTAGATAGTTCAGCAACTATAGAGCTAAAGAGAGAGAAACAAGGTTCAAACAATTTACACTTTGGTACCAAAGATGCAATATAGCATTAACTGCAAAAGGTTCATCTTTTGAATAACTTGCTTACCTTTTCAAATAGAGAAAACCCTTTGTGATTAGGAAGAACTATTTTACAGTTTATGATGATAGGAGGAAATGGTACTAGGCTATTGGTAACTACTTAGTATGGGTGTGCAAAGACTAGTTTAACCGATAAACCGAACTGCAAACAGGTTTGTTTTAGCAATAACATATTTGACTTTGCTTCTGCATGTAGTTTGTGCAGAATTTTATGCATGAAGTTCGTGTATAGATGAAAAATTGCAAATAAGAAAGAACAAAAAGAGAACTAAAGGAGCATTTTCTTATTGGTTTAAGCCAAAATCCGAACTGTTAAGGAGCAAAAATTGATTAACCGAAAATTGTTAACGAATATCTTATTGGTTTGGTTGTCGGTTTAGAATGTTTACAAATCAAAAACCGATAAACCAGACTGAACACCGACCAATAAGCACCCCTACTTAGTTACAGACAAGGAAAAACTTGTGTTGACAATAAAAATGATAAGACTCTGCACTTCTGTAAATTATATAATGCATAAAAAAACTTTACAAGCGCTATATATTTGGGACAGTTTAACAAAGTAGCACCGCATTAAGAAATCAAGTGATGTTATACTCAAGCTAACATTCCAACTCATGGGGATTGAGAGTGTCAGTTCATTATTAGCAACTAATACTGGTCTTCAACCATTACAGGTTCCAACAAACGAATGTAGGTAACTTAGGACATACAATCGGTGAAATACACTACACTGTACGCACTATGGAAGCCAGACACAAACCTTATGCTGTGGAACATTCTCTCTGCCAATGAAGATAGGAACTTGTTTTAACGCATGAAGTTTTGCATCTCATATTTGGTGACTAATCTTCACATAAATTAGTTGTTCACAACTTCATTAGACCTTGAGAGAAGGCAAACAAAAAGAATTAAGAATGCTTATTCATTATGCTGAACAAACCTTGTTGCTACTGTCTAGTTAAGAAGTTGAAAGATGCAAAACATCAGATAATGAATGCTTTCTAGCACAAGAAAAAAA